CACTCACTCACTCTCTCTCTCTCACACACACACACACACACACACACACACACACACACACACACACACACACACACACACACACACACACACACACACACACACACGCACGCACACACGCACGCACGCACTCAGCAGCAAAAGCGCATGCATTCGGATTAACCACTGTAATGAATAAACTTCAGGAGCTCCTTCCTCATCTCGCACGCACTGATCTTCAATTGTTATTGGACCTTCACTCACACGGGGCCGTTAGACAGTGGACTTACAGTAAGAACCGGTAGCAGTAAAATTAACAAGGCGGCTAGAAAATGGCCTGTGGTCATTAGTATATCACCCCTTATATACCCGGTCCATAATGGGTGTTATTTGGTGATTAAGAGGCAGGTGCCAAGTAGGTGGCAGCCTAACCATAAATTCCCAGAGGTAGAGGTTGAGGGCTCCTTTACTGGTCTTACACTTCCTCTCGCCCCTAATGTATGTCCTTGAAAGAGATCAATGGAAAAAGATCAAGGGTTGGATTATTAATTAATTGCAATTAAACTATATTTAAACTTGTGCGTAAAAATACGCACACCCAAGAATGTCGAGGCTATCTTTCTGGCATTATAGTAGGATATATGTCTCAACAGAAGCATATGGTGCTAAAGAAACAGAGCCTTTGACATTCAGAGGGTGATTATGAACCAGAACACTATCCTCAGTGTTTTTTTAGTGTTTCTACATCACAAAAGTAAACTTTATGAACCTTGAAATTTATTGACGATTTTACTTTTTACCTCAAATTGTTTATTTTGCACGTGTTTGGTTTGTCTTTAAATTCAGTTTCTTATGCATTATCAGCTACAGCAGTTTGACAAGCAGCTATGATGTCTCCTCTAATCTGTCATAAACACTAACCTTGCCAGCAGTCGGTTCGTCAACAACAGATGAACCGAGTTCAAGTGGGTCCACGATCCTTCCCTGCATCATTGGTACCCAAAAGTACGCTGAATTAACCACTCTCAGTATGTGTTTATGTGTGTGACACCAAAGACGCTTTAAAAATGGAGAATAGAACATTAGCCACCAGTTCAATCTCACCTCCTTTCACTTGAATTTTGCACGGAACGTAGAAAGTTGCCAACAACCAGCCCATAATCTCCCAACCTCCACGCACACACACGGCAGACAGTAAGCAGTACAAATAACAGTTGTTGGCTGTTGACAGACAGTGCAGCCTGTGGACACCCTGCCAAGGTAAATCCTCCTGAGACGAGTTCACCCTGCGTCTCCACAGCTTACCTGCTGCGTTTACCTGCCCGGGGCGCGTCGGTTTGCTGCGGTGTCACGAAGCGACCCCTCATGCTTCAAATGCAGGAGTCAGACCTCAGGAGCCTCAGGGGGCCTCCGGTATCACTCGGTACCGGCGGTTCCGAACGTGCCCGTCTCCCCCCATTTTATCACCGGGAGATTACCGGAGCGCTGTCTCTGCTGCTCCCAACTAATCCTGCCCTCCGGGAGAGGTAGCGACGTGCTGACGTCACTCTGTCAATCCAGCAGCAAGCTGTCCACTACACACGCCCCGAGGCATGGACACAAATCCCCTGGACTGGAGGCTGCACGCACAAACAAACACACACACACACACACACACACACACACACACACACACACACACACACACACACACACACACACAGTTTAGCTAGTCAACACACGCCTGATTTTTGTCCTGTCACCAAAAATAGGCCTCAGTGACAACTTGACCCTTCATATTATAAGAGGAAGAAAGTAAATGAACTTGCATAAAAAGAAGGAAGTGTTCACATTAAGCCTATTTCATAGCAGTACAGAGAACTAATTCAAAGCACAGAAGTATTTAATAACATTATTGATGCCTGCATTCCACTTAGGGAAGATTCTTGTATCAGGCATGCTGCACACTGCAATATTACACTTCAACATGCCATCATTAAGGTTATCACTTTCAATTCTGCTTTTCAAGCAGGAGAAGTTGAAGTGTGCTGGGAAAAATGTCTATTATCATCAAACTAACGGCAGCTAGAAATTGTCAAATTCATCCAAATATCTGGATGATCATACTGATGTTCAGAGAATGTTAACGCATGTTTTAGCAATTGTGTGCAACAACTAGTGGCTTATTATTATTTAACAGGGCACCAAACATATTTAGTCAATATTTAGCATGTCAATATAAAAAAAGACAGATTAAAAAAAGACAAGAAAGAACACAAAACACAGTAAAAAGCTACACGAATACATGAATTATACATCAAAAATGTATTCCTGTCAGACAAAAGCAAGTCATAAAGACCATAAGAACATATAAAGTAAAAAGAAACATACTTACAGTGCTGTAAATTCAAAGGTCATCCCTTGTTTTGTGTTTTGCGAATTGAGGGACCATTTACAAAGGATTTGGGCATAGCGAAGCCCCTTCAGGTGTATAACTAATAGTCGTCTTTTATCAACTAAATGCAATCTAACAGTGTACATGCAGTGCTGGTTTGTGTGATACTGTTTTGGCAGCATGTTCAATAAAGTTATCTTGAACTAATTCACCTACTGTAAACTTGGGCCATTGTGTGTAAACCTCAATATGTGTGTGTGTGTGTGTGTGTGTGTGTGTGTGTGTGTGTGTGTGTGTGTGTGTGTG